GTTCCATTCCGAGCAACGAAAATTTTGTTATCGGATGGATGATAGAACTCATACCCTCTAGTTTCCTTGGGGTATCCCACAAAAATTACTTTATCAGATTTAGGCTCCAACTTACTAGACGTCATGAGACGTTTTACATAAGCTTCACAGCCCCAAATCTTAAAGTACGAGAAACTCGGTTTTCTCCCACGCCATAGTTTGTATGGTGTGCTCTCGACAGCTTTAGATGGAACTCTGTTGAGTGTGTGTGCTGCTGTTTTCAATGCATATCCCCAAAATGATTCTGGCAATGTTGTCAGACTAATCATGCTCCGGACCATGTCAAGCAAAGTCCGATTTCTCCTCTCAGACACTCCATTTAACTGAGGTGTCCCCGGAGGAGTGAGTTGGGATAAAATCCCATGCTCTTTCAGATAGTCATCGAATTCCAGGCTTAAGTATTCACCTCCTCGATCCGAGCGGAGGGTCATAATACTTTTGCCTAATTGTTTTTCTACTTCGTTCTTGAATTCTTTGAATTTGTCAAAGCATTCCGATTTGTGTTTCATGAGATACACATATCCAAATCTACTAAGGTCGTCAGTAAATGTAACGAAGTAATAATAACCACCTCTAGCTACAGTGCTAATTGGACCATAGACATCGGAGTGTATGAGGCCCAATAAGTCACTCGCCCTTTCACCGTGACCGGTGAATGGAGCCTTTGTCAAGTACACCAGAACGATGTAACTTAGATATGCGTTTCTCGTTAATGTGGCCCAAACGACAATGCCAAAGGTACGCGAGATTCAAACTGTTAGGTTTGTTTCTCTTAACATCTACGTTACATATTGTAGTATCCATGTCAAGGACATAGAGACCGTTGGTCATTTTTGCACCTGCATAAAATATATCATTTCTAAAGACAGAAAGAGTTTTGTCTTTTACAACGAATGAAAATCCTGCTTTGTCAAGGCAGGATACAGAAATGATGTTTCTGCTCATACTAGGTACAAACAGACAATTATTCAAATGCAATATTAGACCACTAGGTAGAGATAAACTATAGGTTCCGATGGCCAATGCATAGACGAGTGCGCCATTGCCGACTTTTAGTTGTATCTCTCCCTCCGTCAATTGTCTACATTCATGCAAGTTCTGCATAGAAGTACAGATGTGAGAACCACATCCAGTATCCATCACCCAAGAGGTGATATCAGACATATTGACTTCGATAACATAAATACCTGAGTTTTGGGGTTGACCCTGGTAAAGGTCTCTTAAGCATTGTATCATAGGACGCACTTCCATGTCCGCGTGGAGCCTTTGGAGCTCCGCGGTCATACTGGCCATAATGATACACTTTACATCTCGCGCGTCGTCCTCATACTTCTTGAAGGAAGTGAGTTCGGACGCACGAGCATTAGCATCAGGGGTCTTGGGAGGATCCGTTTCTAGGATGTAGAGTTTCCTCTCACAGTTAAGAATGATTCGGAGGTTCATCTCCTAGTCAAGAAAGTTGGTCCCGGATAACTTGTTGTTTTCCAGGATGTAACACAGGTTGAAAGGGTTGTTGTTGTTTGCCATCTACAGAAAATTTTGCAAACTAGGTTATCTATCATGTTTAATAATTAATTAGGCCTTTAATTAATTATCTCCCACTATTTTTAACAAATCAATAACCCTCGATATTGATCCGGAGATTTCCGGTGAAACCTCTAGTGGGCCAAGATCCATATTTCATTATCTTGCGTTCCGCTTGGGCGTTACTCCACAAGACAACTATTTAGGTAGGAACATAGTTCCAACTGATGAGCCGGGCTCTCAGCTCTTGGTCTGGTGTTGGGCGAACAATATTACTACAACCGGACCAGGACACCTTTTCACCATACTTGTAATTGGCTGAGGCACGTCTTACAAGCAGACTACTTTGGTTAGGAACAGAGTTCCAATTAAATCATAAAGATCCAACTCCTGGCTGGATGAGTGAGTAAAATCATCCGACTTGTCATTGATGACCCCAACTTACTGCCTCTGAGTCGTCCATCCATTTGACCGAGACTCAGTTAAGTCTAACCCAACGTGCGACAGCGACCACGCTATGGCGGTTCCCGTAACCAGCTTAACATACACCGTACTATGCTCTGCTGAGGCTGAGTACATGACAGTGCACATTAGCCGGATAGGTGCCGGGCGTCAGAAGGCAACAGACTTAATATTCGTGAGGGATTTATAATTTCGATCTCACCTATCGACATGG